CTGTTATATAACTAAACGCCTGTTGCTTATCGTTGTCCGCATCGCACATATCACTCAACTTCACCAGAAGTGACGGATCCGATGGCACAAAGTGTAGCAGTTGTTGGTAAAAGTCGAGCGCCTGATCCCTGTTTCCCAATAATTCATATATGTTGGCGATCTGGTAGAGTATATGCGGATGTCTTTTGGTGAGCGCATGGAGTTTGAAGAGGTAGTCGAGTGCGTCCTCATAGGCGCCCAACTTCTTGAAGGCCAGCGACAGGTTATACATGGCTTCCAGACATTGCGAGTCATTATTAACCGCTTCCTTATAATACTCTTTAGCCCTCTCGAAGTCCTGGTGCCTATAGTAGGTGTTCCCCCTATTGACTAACGCACCGGAATTATATCGGTTAGCATTGATGGCTTCGTCGGCGTACTTCTCGGCCATCGATATGTCATTTTGAAGCAAATATAGGAACGACAGGTTTGTGGCGGCAGTGGAGGCGCTCTTATTATCCCTCTTCTCAAACGACTTGAGTGTAGCGATCGCTTCAATGAACTCCCTTTTCCTCAAGTGTTTCACCGCTTTATTGATCTCTAAATCATTGGCCAAATGAGCGAATGCAGAGCTGTTCCGGATCTGATCGACACACCACTCGTATCCCTGACTGAATGTGTCTCCGATTACCGGTGCGACGAGTTTGGCGGCCGTCAGTATAGACCACTCGGAGTCGTGTCGCCTCTGTTTCTCCCACTGCCTTAAGTCGTCGTTTTTGATCACTTCGACCAACAAGTGGTTCGTGAGGTCGTCGTTGATGTCAGAGTGGGTCACATACTTGTCCTCAAACGAGTCCTCGGCATTCACTTCGAGTAGTTTCGAGAAATACTGTTTCATTTGCTGTCTGTCCCCTAAGGCATAGCTGCAGACAATCAGATGAAACGCTGTGATCGTATCGATCCGTTCAGACATTATGTACTCAAAGGATGTGATGGCATCTGCGAACTGATTCAGTCTCACAAACGACAGACCGATGTTATGCATGATCTTCAGGCTATAAGTGAACACATTTGAACAATATTTATAACATACAGAATATTACAGAATATTCTGAATATAGAATACTCTATTCTGTATTCTGTATATTACAGAATATTCTGAATATATACAGAATATATACAGAATACAGAATATTCTGTAGGTTTTAATTAGCAATAATTACCGCAAATCCTTCTGAATATTGGGAATCTGATCCAAAGCCATGCGAAAGAATTTAATGGCTTTCGGGTAATTGTTTTGTTTGAAGTAAATGTTTCCGATGTTTAACTTCAGTCGACCTGTCATTTGCAAACATAACTATGAGTTTACTGTGAAATTAGATCATTCAAGTGTATGTGAGGGCACCTGTATTAGTGAAAGTCCTGTTTTTAATGATGGATTGGTATGTATTGATTGCCTCGGAATACATGTCAGCGTTGGTGTACTGAACGGCCAGATTGAAGAGCGCGGCAAATGTGAGGTCACTGTAGCACCTGTATTAGTGAAAGTCCTGTTTTTAATGATGGATTGGTATGTATTGATTGCCTCGGAATACATGTCAGCGTTGGTGTACTGAACGGCCAGATTGAAGAGCGCGGCAAATGTGAGGTCACTGTTGGGGGCAATGGTTTCGGCCAAACCCGAGCCCTCTTTCATACGAGACAACGACCGCTCCTTTTGGACGCAATCCTTGGCCCTCTCGAGGGCTGTACTCATCTCCAGCCGTTGCGCCGCAAACACACTCTCTTCCAGCAAATCGTTGATCTTCTTCTCCAACTGTTTTATCTTCACTTCCGGTGCCGAGTCGTCCCGCGTCTGAAAGCCCGACACCATTGACTTGGACTGACCTAACGGGTCGAACACACCGGCGCCGCGATTGCCCGTAGATGTATAGCCCACACCTCTGACAGCGGTCATGGGTCTGGCTGTGGACGGGGGCTGTTGTCCGGCAGCCGTTCCTATAGCTCTTGGATTGGACGATGTGATCGACGAGCGTCTATAGCCGGCTGTGGTTCCCATTCTGGACGCACCGGTCGCTCCTCTATACCCTGTGGTGACCCCTTTGCGACCGTAACTACTCTTGAGAACCGCCTGTTGGAAGCCTTCATCTGATTGCAAATTCTAAGACATATTTTGTGACAAAAGTGTTAATAAATGATTGAAAACTTTTTTCGATACAAAAGTCTACGAACTCTAGTGTCGAGCGCCGGATGAAACTCATTGTAACCCTCGTAGAGGTCGTCATCACTTTCGGCTAAAATCACTTTTTCCATCATTTTGTGGCCGATTATCCCTTTTAGTGTTCACTCNTTTTTCGATACAAAAGTCTACGAACTCTAGTGTCGAGCGCCGGATGAAACTCATTGTAACCCTCGTAGAGGTCGTCATCACTTTCGGCTAAAATCACTTTTTCCATCATTTTGTGGCCGATTATCCCAAATCTAATTCAAAGTCAATGAATGTATAACTAAGAGTCTGCCAACAAAAAGTCGTCGTAGGGATAGGTATAGCCTTCAGTGTACAGAATATCTGTATCTATTGGTTACTGAATTTGTTTTCAGTCGAGAATTCATAACAAATATACGGATCAATAATTATTAGACACAAAAATCTTGTGAACCATTTAAGAGACAAATGCCTTTTGTCTATATTTAGACAAAACGATGTCTACAAATGAGTTTTGATTTGTTTTGTTAATTATTTATTAATAAATAAACAAATTGATTGACATATATATTCATCAATTATCATTGAACACAAATGAGCTATACTTGAATCTAATGTTAAATATATGATATAATTTGATATAAATTAAAATGTTATAAAATTATTTATTTGCCTCCTTATTTTTATATTCATACACGCTATATAACAGTAGTCATAACATAACTCACCAAGTAATACAACTACGGTATTTGCTATACCTGTATTATTATGAAGAATATTTCAATGTCAATTTCAAATAAAACATTAAGTTA